ATTAAATAACTATAGAGATAGAGTACTTGTTCATGTTAAAATAAAAAGATAAATAATACATTATATTTAATTGTATTTGCATCACTTCCTCTGAGTGGTCACTCAGCCTCCTATTTGATGGTCATTATTTGACTAAAACAATATTTTGAATAATAATTTTCAGTAGAATATGTTTAAAATTAGAAAAATAAATTACGTTTATGTGCAGAACATTTTATTATGTGAATATATGTTTAAAAATTAGTATATATAAAAAAAAAATTGTCAAACAGGGATTAAATATTATGTAAGAAAAAGTCACTAAATGAAGGAAATTGTAGAATAACAAATATTATATTATACATAGACTGAATTAAATTAACACAATATATATATATATATATAGGCACCTTTGTTCTTTAATTTTTCTCATATCAGAAAATTGATTCCCAGAAATAAATGTAATGGAAAGTGTAGGGACCAATGGATAACATTGTAGAAAGTACAGTGATCTGTAACGACCCGGGTCTATGTATCCAAACCGTTAGCTTACGTACTGTCCGCTTTGGGTGGGCCTTGTGCCCACTTACCCTTCACGACTTTTTATCCCATCCCCCGAGATTCGAACTTATAACATTCCCCTTAAGTAAGATATAAGGGGAATCCTGATACCAATTGGGCAAGTACAGAAAGCAGTGAGGGGTAAGTGGGCGCAAGGCCCACCCAAAGCGAACAGTACGTAAACTAACGGCTTGAGTACAGAGACCCGGATCATTACATGATCAATGAAATATTTAACCCAATACTTTTAATCTCTTATATTTGATCTTATGTGTTTAAATTACTTTAATTAAATGAAATAATAGTAACATATTGATGTATATTATATATATTTTCTGCTAACCATTAATATTTATTGGTGTTATTATTTTTAATTTCGGGTACTTGACTAAACAAATAATAATAATTTCATTTTTTACTTTCAAATAATCAGTGTAATTTTATTAATATTTCATATATTTTTTTTTTCCCTACTCATATTGAGATTACAAATCCTATCAATCCAAGTCAAGTTTCTTAATTGATCACAATACACTTCAATAATTAAATTGTTAAACAAATTTGTCAAGATTCTTAAGATCATTATTTTCAATCATTTGGTTATTAATATTTCCTTTAGTTGAAATAAATTGAACACAAGATAAAATATAAGAAAGTAGAAAAATTTTGTTCTTTCCAGAACATTTATGACTAACTACTAAACTTTTGTGACCTAGATAAACTAATAGTAAAAAAAGGGTGGCACCTTTTTACTATAATGATTTGGTAAGTTCAGAGGTTAGTTAGAAACATTTCAAAGTTCAGTGGCCAATGGTGAACATTGAGAAAAGTATAGTGGCGGTCGGTGCATTTAACCCATTATTTAGTCCCTATTTCAAACATATTTTTTAAAAGTTCATTTTTCAAAAAATCATTTTCCAATATACATTCTTCCAAAAATTTAATTTTACATGTGGACCCATAACTCTTTCCTATTTTTTTATCTGCACTTTTTTCCAAATAAAAAAATAAATGAATAATTAAAAAATCACTATTCACATAATCTAATTTCAAAAATCCACATTAAATTTTTTGTGGTGAATGACATGAAATGTCATGGCAGTATGTGTAAATTTTTTTAACCTCAACCGAGAGTACTTTGTTTGGGAAACGTTTATCAAAAAATCCACATCAAATATATATATATATATTAACACAAATGAGAGTACTTTATTTGGGAAGTGTTTATCAACATTTAAATTATAAATTGATAAAAATGAATTTTGAATAAGTAATTAGTATTTGCGAATTTCACAACATTTGTAGATAAAAATTGATTTGATCTAATTATAAACAGTTCATAAATAATAGTCAAACATGGCAAAGCGGGACAATTAAATGGAGTATTAGGGTCGCTTTTATTATTTTGTAATGTGAACTCGTTTACATGTTAATGAACGGCATCGATCATTCAAATAACTTTTTCTAACAGTCGTACTTCCACTTCTAAACTCTTGCATCATTATTTGACTGACTGCTTATCATTATTCAAATGTTTCGTTGTGCAAATATTTTAACTTAATTTGGTTTCTGTGAGGTCAAATACTAAACGAAGGTCTTAGGGTTAGGTGACCAAAAATTCGACAAAAATGCTACTTGTCCAGATGGATTTGGAAGTGTTGAGATGACAAAATGTAATTGGCTGATATAAAATTATTTTTTGTCCAAAATCCAATGAATTTTGACAACTGACATTCTTTAAACCAATATGTAAAAATAGCATGTACATATAGCATTTTTCAAATTCAAAGCCAAGAATGAGACATTTGGAATTGATTTTTTATTTTTATTTTTTCAAATTTTCTTAAGTCTTTTTCAATCTCTGTTGAACTTTAAAATTTTTTCAAGTTGTCACTAAACTTATTCAAAATGTTATTTAGTTGTTGTTGAACTTTAAAGTTTTTTGAGTTGCCATTAAAATAACCAAAATCATATTTTATCTTACGTTCGTCATTTTAAAAAATTAACAGACTTGATGATTGACTGTCTTGCTCTCTTTTCACCTTTCTAACTCCTCCTAGTAAAGGTTCGATGGGTTCGGGTGACCTAACGAGATAAGCATAGCAAGTCTTTTTCATATGAACGGGAAAGAAGAGGGATTTTGGTCTGGTCAAGTAGATGAAGAATGTGGAGATGAGTGAGAAAAGTCCCTCTCAACTGGGTTAGGCAAGGGTCTGTCGAATGGGCTTGTTGTTGGTCCAAAAGGAAATTGATCGTCACTATCGATAGCTGATTCGGTGCGGGTGAAATTACCACACATGGCATACTTTCAACAATAATATGAACCACCACATTACTGAGCAACATGCATTTTTAAAATGATGAGTGATGAGATATGATAAGTTTCGTAGACAATCAATATTTTGGTTAGCTTAGTGTAAACAGCCTTATTTTCTTTGAATTTACATTTTCTATCAAAGTATTTATCTACGTGATAAGTTTTGAATGTGCTTTAATCTTCATTACTTTTATTTGAACTTTCTTAAGGTTACGAGTTTGAGATTCATTTTGTGGACGTGTAAAGCCCTTCTGAACTTTTATTAATTCCCATGATTAAAGTAAATGAATGCAAAGTAACAATTAATTAAAAATAGTGCAGACGAAAATGAAATTGATGAAAATTTCTTTTTATTTTTATTTTTTTGTAAAATTAGTGTAAGTACGAATTTATGTTGACCGTTCCCGTATTCAAGCTTGTCCGGTGCCAATAATGTTTCTTTTCATGCATATGACATACGAACTTGCTAAGAAAGAGCTAATAGTAGTTATATCAATGGACAGACATATATCAATGAATGTTGGTTCCAAAATGCACAAACTTCGAACTTTTCTTTTGAGTTGTGAAACGAACTTCGAATTTTTCATTTGTATGAGATTATATGTATAATGACAATACATCATTGGTGGATCAAATATTTTTATACAATTAAATATTATCTTCACGACACTCTTTTAAATTGTTATTATAATAAAAATTTCGAAATTATTTTTAAGGACGTGAAAGAAAACTAAAAAAGTCCAAATTTCCTTTCGTATAGATAGAAAAGTAGCCCTCTTATGCACGTCCACATGTTTGAAGTCCAAACTTTGGACCATCAAATGTCCACATGGTTTGAAACGTGTACCTTCTAAGTAAGAAAATAATTGAGCCACCAGCATCATCACTTACTAAGGAGAACTTCAAGTCCCTCTATTAAGTTCATATTGTGATTCCTGTCGGACTACTCGAAAGGAAATCAAGTAAAAAATTAAGTAATTGGTGATCAACACTTCTAAGTGCGATATTATCCTAAATTTTCTGTGGAATTCACATATTGTGCATTAACAAGCACTATTTAGCAAAAAATTGGTACAAAGATTATCGAATATACTTATAATTAGTACTCATTAAATACAAAGTTTGGACTTCATATCTCATTTCTCTTTATTTTTCCATTTTTTAAAGTTATTTGATTTTGGTATTTTAGCTTTGAACATGAAGTGTTTTACGTCGATAGGTTTCTACATTTTATGATACGCACACGTCTTTGTTATGTAATTAAATTTATCATTATTCTTATTGATGAAAAGAATAAAATTTCTTGTTATTTAATTTAAGGATTACATTTGATTAAAAAAAAAATTAAAGTGCTTTCATAATTGAAAAAAATTTAAAGTTCATAAATTTCCAGAAAAAAAAAAAGGAAAATCCTATAAACTATTAAATATTCTTCTTTCAAAGACTATTAATTTTATTTAATCTTCATAGCTCTCTTTAGGGCCTGCTTCGGAGTTTTGTTCACCGATTTTGACCTTAGGTGGCATCAATTATAAGATGCTGGAAAAGTCGATGCTTGCTAGATTTTTTAGACACTAAAAATCAATCAAAATCAATGTAGTGTAATTTTAGCCCTATATAATGCCTTCTCATTGTGTGTAATTATTCACCCATTATTCACTATTAACAAAGAAAGAGATATGGCTGCAGTTGCCTCTGCCACTTCCACCGTCCCTTCACTTGCAAAGGCAGTCCAAGAACTGGCCACGAACACCAGTACGACGCCAGAAAGATATATCCTCAAAGAAAGCACTGGTGGCAAAGCCTCTGAGCTTCCATATCTTGATATTCCAATTCTTGATCTTAGCCTTCTTAATTCTTCATCGCCTGAAGCTGAAGAAGAACTCAAAAGACTAAGACTTGCATTTAGCTCATGTGGTTACATTCAGGTTAGTATAGTTTCATATTGGTAACTAAACTTCGTGAATTTAACTTTGTTACAATTTGATCATATTTTGTTTAACACAAAATATGACGTAATAGTTAGTTTTCTGTAAATTTGCCTAGTAGCCACACTCTACAAACACATATACAAAATTATCAAATTGGAATAAACTCTGAAATTGTCTGTAGAGTCAGCACTCCAAGATTGGTGATCATCATTGTGGAGTTGGGGCTCCACTATAACCCAGACTGTTGTTAAATACAACTGCGGATATATAACATTACTCTTTATTTATTAATTCGGCATGGGATATCAATTTTTTTTTACGTGTTAATTGAAATTCATGACACAATTTTTTTGGTTTTTTCAGGCAATAAATCATGGGATTGATACTTCATTTATAGATGAAGTACATGATGTGACTAGGAATTTTTTCTCACTTCCGATGGAAGAGAAGAAGAAATATGCAAGAGATGCTGATGATATTGATGGATATGGAAACGACACCGTTTTCTCTAAGAACCAAACACTTGATTGGAATGACAGATTGTATCTCAATGTGAAGCCTGAAAACAAGAGGAAGATGAAAGTGTGGCCTGAAAACCCTAAAAACTTTAGGTAAATATTCCAAGATTATTATACTATCAACAATGACACTTTGACACACCATTCTAAATTCTGAAAAATAGAAATTAAAAAAAAAATCTGATTCCTCCACTATTGTTAGATACACTCGACTGGACTCGACATTTAATAATTTATAAATTCTCTCGATGCCACTCTTTGGCATATTCTAACATACTTTATAAGACAGTCTTATATCGATTTTTAGTGTCTAGTCAAAGTTTACTAATTTGACACTAATGTAAAAATAACTTTTAAAATAAATAAGTTATTCTTACAAATTTGATAATAGAAACTTTTTATTATTTCTTATAATAGGTAAACAGCTTGCTCTAGTCAAACTTAAAAGTCACTTTTAGCACTAAACTAATTTCGTAAGGGTACAACAAAAACAAAAAAAACGTTGGGCCATCCTATCTCTTTTCAGAAATTAAAATTTTACCCTTGTGATATTTTTTTTCCTATATTATGTAAAGTATTTTTTAATTATATTTTTATTTTGTAGGCAAGTTTTGGTAGATCTTACGGACAAATTAGAGAAGGTTAATGAAATTCTCTCCAAGGCCATGGCAAAATCACTGGGTTTGGAAGAGGACTGTTTCTTAAAACAGTATGGAGAGAATATAGTGTCTCTCACAAGATTTAATTTGTATCCTCCATGCCCTACACCTGATCTTGTTCTTTCGGCCAAAGCACATGGAGATCCATCTGGACTGACTTATCTCATACCAGATAAAGAAGTTGAAGGCCTTCAAGTCCTTAAAGATGATCAATGGTATAAAGTTCCGATTGTTCCAAATGCTATCAATGTTAACATTGGTGACCAACTCGAGGTAAATAAGTTTCTCTATAACTCTTATTGCGCACTAGATAATTTCACACATTAGCTTAAAAAAATTACTATCCGTTGTTAATTATTTTATGACGATCAAAAGATAGGAATATTTAGAATACCTTGTTGCACCCAAAGAGTTCCTCTCTCAACATGACGTTCCCATGACTCAAATTCATGACCCTAAATTGGATATCACTTGTTAGTATCGGGTTTTAACCATCTCATCGGGAAATCAATTTATGTTGAATCATGGCAAACTAAAACTTTTATAGCATTTAATCACCAATTTTGAGTGAGGCAACTTATGTATATAAGAGCGGCAAATATTATAAACCAACACTTGTCCTTTCACTCTTTCCCTCAATGTTATTGAACCAGGTCGAACTAGCCATTCAACTGGAAAAACTGGCAATCGGTTCAGTTATAGGTTTAAAAGAAAAATAAAAATCCATTCAGATAACCTAAGAACCGACAATTTCGTGTCAGAATTTTGGTTTTCTTTTATTCATTTTACCTCTAATTTGACCGTGGTCTAATCCTTTAACGATGGCTGCAGATAATGTGCAATGGTATTTTCAAGAGCCCGATTCATAGGGTTGCAACAAATCGAGAAAGAGAGAGGATGACAATTGCTGTTTTCTTCACTCCTGACCCTACCAGTGAAATTAAACCAGTTGAAGGGCTTATTGATGAGAAAAATCCTAAATTATATAGAAGTATTGTAGACTACACTGGTAACTATTTCGAGTTATTTCAGAAAGGGGAGAGGCTCGTTAATGCTCTCAAAATTTGATATTTGTCTGTTTTTATCTACTCCAAAAAGTAATTTAAGGTAAGATTTATATCTTTCTTTCGAGTTTTTTCTGTTTCATTTGCACGAATATTATGCAATATTGCACCAGTCTCGTCTCACGACGGTTAAAAATCATCATGAAAAATATTTGACGACAGTTAGTCAAGATTAATGAGTAATTTTATTGTGCAGGTTTCAATCTGAGATACAGAAGCTAGAGCTTTTGCTTGGGATCGAGCAGCAGGATGCATATTTATCATAATAGAAGAGAATTTCCAAGCTGTGCAATAATAAAGTTCAGATAATATTACTATCTGATATGTATTTCGTGTTGGTGTGTCAGTTATATGTAAGATTTTACCGTGTGATAATAAATAGTATATTATTAATAACTTATTGTCCATTTAATTTTTGATTATTTTTAAATTGGATAAATTGCTCGCTTCGTTCTCACTCTATATCACCCATATTACCTTTATCTCTTACGGTTTTTTCTTAGCATTAAGCTTGCTCACATTACTTGATGTAAAGAATGCAAGCAATGACTATCGACTTGTTAGTATTAAAGAAATAATTTACCCAATAAAAAAAGTAATGATCAACTAAAGGAAAAAATTCAAGTAGCACTGATCATTCATTGGTTTAACTCAAGCCTAAATCTCGAGCAACTTTTTAACACTTTTTGTATCAAAAAAATCGATCAAATGATCCGAACACTAATCATCATCATACAATTCATTCAAATTAAAGAAGTCTATAATAAATAAATAAAGCTCTCTCCCAAACCCTAGTCGTCCTCGTCTCCACAGAAAACCCTACCCACCACCTGCTGCCAATGCTCAAACCACTAGATCCTGCTGGTGCAACCTCTTCTACTAACATAGCATGGATTAAGTCATTTCTTACATGGTAAAATTCATTACCTCCTACACCAACAAACCCTACTCCATTCCCCCCAAAAGAGCAAAGGAAAACATTGCATAAATATCAGTGTTCTAAAAAGCACATGTAGGCATGAGGAGCAGGTGAAATGCCACACCTTGACAGTGACCTCAAAATTAAGTGGCATGCTTAATGCGAGTTTAGGTGCGCTTAGTCGTGCTTCATTAATTTTTTTAAAAAGTCTTTTATTTGATTTTAGTTTCAAATTTTTAAATAATTTAATTTGTACAAAAGTCAAAAATGAAAACACCTTAGAAAATTTCAAACAAAAAAGTGGTCAAAGGAAAATTGAAAAGTTGAAAATCTGACTAATTGTAGGAATTATTAAGTACATATATTAATTTATAATTTTATATGTTTAGTGTGTATTATTTTAATTATTAAACAATTTTTAGAATGATTGAAAAATTAAAATAATATTAGACTCGTAAAGCTTGAAGTTTGACATCCACACATAATTACACTTTACAGTTTTTAGAACATTAACAAATATAACTTCAAACGAGTAGCCATACTCTCGTAGTCTAAACCTGACCTGCTGATTGGGAATTTTTCGAACAGGGAGGCAAATATAGCGATCCTACCAAAGGTGTTTGAGATTCTAAAGGGAGATTGGAAAGTTGGATTCATTGGCTTCAAGCATGTTCTTATTAATCTGAAACTGAATGAAGCCTAAGAATGCCTGCCATGTTCCTAAATGCCTGATGAGAACTATCAAGTGGACATACGACTTCAATACAAAACATAAATCCTCCATCTGTCTGGTATAGATTTCACTACCATTATAGCTATATGTTCTCTTTGAAAAGTCAGTGCTATTTTTTATTGGCCAGTTATTTGAAAAGCTGTTAAAAATTGATGAAGCCATAACAATCCTAACAAGGCCAAGTGAAGCAAGGTTTTTGTTGTGTTTTTGATACCCAATAAATCATGGCAATGATTTAGAATAGTTGTCGGATTATTTATCAACACCATGACTTGGCTTGACTCGAAAACGACCTACACTTTTGGATGGCTCGAGTTGGGGTTTGATTTGTTGTTGATGGATATATTAGTTTTGGCCCAATAGTTATTAGGTTTGCCTAGGTTTTAAGAAGCCCATTTGTTTGTTTAAGTGGGAACTCATTTTGGAGGTTTTACTTGGCCCATGTTGTGATGTCTAGGCCCAATTGGAGTGACCTAACTAATGCAATATATATCCATCTTTCTCCCAGCCGTGAGAGGATGGTGGACTTGAGCATTTGCACAATGGAGAGAAAAACGTGAGGGAGCCGTCTTGGAGGAAAAATTTAGCAATTGCTACCTCTATTCTTTCTTCCTTTGTGGGTGCATTTTAACCACCACCATGTGTCCTTTGTGTATACTAAATAGAGAGCAATCGAAGAAGGTAGAGAGGGCAGTCCAAAGTGATGGTGAAGCCTTGAGTCAAGCCTAGATAAACCGGTGTTCATTTTATTGTTTTTTGAGCCCAAAATCAAGATTTATCTAGAGAGTTCCGCGAAAGTTTTGTGTGGAAGTTGATAAGTGTATTTTATAGTATTAGGAACCTAAAATAACGATATTTGGTAGTTCTTTCGAAAAAATATGTCCTAAGTTATTGGGTTTTATGTTATATAGGTAAAACTCAATGATTAAACAAGGAATTGAAAGAAAGAAGCGAATTGGTGAAAAATGACGAAGTCCAAAATTTGATGACCAAATTGTAAATATCCAATAGTTAATTCGGACCTCAAGAAAATACTTTGAAATTTGCTAGGAGTCAACTGGATGCAATTAAAAGTCAAAAAGAGATTAAATATGATCAAATATTATCACAAATCAATTTTTAATCGTACAATTTATATTCCAGATTTTTAACTGAAGATTGAGAGCCATTTTTTATATAGTAAATGTTAGAATTGGAAAAATTCTATTTCTAACGAAGTTGTATCTCTTTGATTTAGATTTTCGATACACTTTGAATCTCCTCAATTAGATATCGGGAGAAAAATTTATGATCAAAATACTGACAATTGTGCAGAGATAAAAAAAATTTGAGCGCGTAAATGCTACTTTCCTTATTCGATTGGAACTCTTTTGAAAAGAAATTTTTAACCAATTTTCTACTCTTACAGATACCTAACAGTAGAATACATATTAGACACCTCTCATATACATCTCATACTACAATGTTGCATCAATTTTCATCATAAAAGAGGGGCAAAATCATATATTGTGAGAAGATTTCAAAGGCAAAGTTCAAGAACTCATCAATTAAGGATTTAACTTTCGATTTTTGGGTAAAGAATCAAAAGAATTATTAAAAATTTATCAAGATAACCTTGAAGAAATTCAAGAACATCTTCCTTCATTCATTAATTCACAATTCCAGGTGATGTTCTGTACATGTTACAAGATTTCTTACAATTCCAATATACTAGACTAGTTTTATATATTATTAGGATGAGACGAACTCTTGTTATGATATTTTTAGTTTTTAATTAATTATTTTGACTTTAATTTGGTTTGATTTGTAAATATTTTTTTTATCGTTTTTTATCGCTCTTTTCAATTGCTTGACTACCAATTGAATTGTTAGTGAATTTTATTATTATCGAGAGAGACAATAGGGTTTGAGCACGATATAATAAACATTGTAAAATTTGAAAAAGGATAAAAAAAATACATATATGCTTTATATAGTTTCAATAAATGTTCTAGCGCTTGTTAATTCATTTATTATGTTTACATCTTTCATCAAAAGATAGAAGGGTCACATCAGGAGAATATATTTAATCGTTATTGAGAAATGCTTTCAATTAAATTAGGAAATTGATCAACATAAATTATTTCAAGCTGTCGCTTTATTCGTTACACTAAAAATAAAATAATAAGGAGGATTCAGTATTTTAGCAATGTATCTCATATATTTGAAAAACACATTTACTTGCCTCAACCAGTTTAATTGATAATTTAGGGATAAGTATAGAAAATCACAACAAAGTGTTGTTATTCGATTAAAGATGCAACTAATTTTAACTCTCTCAAATACATAGTCATCGTGGGTTCAACACTATATTCATCTTTATATTACTTGAACACGATCCCGTACACTTGTGAATTTTCAAAGGTCAAGTTTTTGGCACTGTTGTCAGTAATTATTATTATTATTATTATTTTAGAAGTTTTGGTTAATTTTAACTTTATTCTAAATTTTATTGCTTTATTAGTTAGGTTATTTCATTAGAAAAATTTTACAATTTTTTTTTTGGGACTTTGTATGCAAAATTTGAGACCTGGTGATCTTTTTTTCAATTTGATCTAGAAATCGAACACACATTCAATTTTAAAGAAGAGAACAATTAAAAGCACGACAAAAACATAAAGAGGAACACATTGTATAGGATATCTTGAATCCTATTGCCATTGGGGCAAATTTGGGGATAGTATCTCCAAACATAGCTACAGTGATGAGAATGAAAGACTCATTGGTGAATATATGGTTCCACCTATTATGAAAAGTCAATCTAGTATTGTTTATCTGACGCTTGGCATGGGAACTTTCACTTGAGGACGGATGTCATAAACATGTTTTAGAATACTCGGCAATTCCTTGGGAGAGCTACTGAAAATCCCAACGTGCACATATTACGATTCTTGGACATATGTGCAACAATCGAGTACTCAAGAGTTTCAAGTAAAGCAATCAAGCTGGATCTTTTCCCATACACATTGAGAAACTCAGCTAGAGAGCGGTTGGACATTTGTCCACCTCAGAGCATCATTGCATGGCGGATCAGGTCTACCAAATCACGAAGGAATTGGCATTAACTAGTGCACTTTGGTCTGCTGAAAGTGCAAGTGGAAAGAATGTTACTAGCGTATATGAAGTTGATTCTTTGACAGCAATATCAGCTCAATTGACATTACTAGCACAAAAGGTGAAACAAATGAGTGCAATTCAAATGTTGGGCCAAAATGCAAGTCATGAGTGTTGACTATACTGTAGGTTGTCCATTTGCCCAATCAGTAGATGATGTAAATTATTCTTAAAATTGCTCAATCAGTAGAAGATGTAAATTATGCACAAAATTGTCAAAGACAACAACATATTCAGAATCGTAAAACATATTACCCAGACTGGAGAAATCATCCAGGTTTTCAATGGAGCAATAATTAGCAAGCCCAATTGGAATTACAGCAGACTGAACTTTAAATTGTTGCTAAAACATCTCTAAACTTTTTAAAATACTCTCAAGTCTCAATCCATTACTAATTCCAAGAATCGGACCACACGTGTGCCACGTGTCAATTACTGTTAGCCACGTAGGCAGTTCCATCCAAACCAATGATCGGAATCCTAACAAGTAATGAATTGAGAGCATATTTAGAAAGTTTAGTGAAGTTTCAACGACACTTTCAAATTCAGTCTAAGTGCAACTATTTTTTAATCAACTAACCCAATAGCTAC